AAAAAAAAAAAAAAAAAAAAAAAAAAAAAAAAATACTGAGAGAATAAGTGAGATAGTAAAAAAGTTTAAAAGAAGTAAAAATTGTTGAGTGAGTGAATGAATAAATGCATCTTACCTACGGTTCTACAAATAGCTTTTTAAAAATGTAACAATACATATAGGCTGTTTTCCCAGTTTAAAAAATGATGTACTGTATTCTAATAGGTAGCTTAACACAAATTTATGTAGCTAATCCTCTATTGATGAACATTTCTCTTGTGTTCACTTTTCCCTTTTGCAAACGTTGTTTATATCGATATATCCTTACATACTAAAGGGAAAATATTTATAGAGTAAATGTCTGGCAGTATAAATATTAGGTCAAAAGGTTTGTTCTTAATTTTTATGGATATTATTAATTTGCCTCCCAACAAGTTTGTACTTGTTTTCATGGCCAACAGCAGTGCATGCGACTGCCTGTTTCCCACATCCCTTGCCCCAAATGGGTCTAACTGAGCGTTTATTTTTAAATTTTATTTAATTTTTTTGTTTTTATAAATTTATTTATTTATTTTATTTTTGGCTGCATTGGTTCTTCTTGCTGGGCGCAGGCTTTCTCTAGTTGCGGCGAGCAGGGGCTACTCTTTGTTATGGTGCGTGGGCTTCTCATTGCGGTGGCTTCTCTTGTTGGAGCACGGGCTCTAGGCATGCGGGCATCAGTAGTTGTGGCATGTGGGCTCGGTAGTTGTGGCTCGCGGGCTCTAGAGCGCAGGCTCAGTAGTTGTGGCACACATGGCATGTGGGATCTTCCCTGACCAGGGCTCAAACTCGCGCCCTCTGCATTGGCAGGCGGATTCTTAATCACTGCACCACCAGGGAAGCCCTTACTGAGCTTTTAAATTTTGCCAATCTAATATGTGGAAATGGTGTCTTGTTCGGATTTACACTTCTTTAATTCTGTGTGAAATAGAACTTTAAAAAATATTTTTGTAGGCATATATATTGCCTTTTCTGTGAACTGCTTGTTTCTTTTATCAAAGTGTTTTTCTTTTCATATTGATTTATTATAGCTCTTTATAAATAAAGAAAATAGCCTTTGTCTGTTATGTGCATTGCAAACATTTCCCCCTAATTTGCCCTTTCGTCCTCTGAGTTTGTTTTTGGTCTTTTTTGCCATACAGAATATAAAAAATTTTTATGTAGTTAAATCTGTCAAACTTTTCCTGAATGGCTTCTGTGTTTTATGCCATGTTTAGAAAGGTCTTCCTCAGTTTAACTTATTAAAAAAACTCCCAGACTTTATTTTATTATTAAAATTTTCTTATTGATGTTAAATACCCCACTTATTATGTATTCAATTCCCATGTATATTTTCGGGCTCTTTTTTCCGTTTCATTGATTTGTTTATTACTTATTTAGAAACATTCTCCTTTAATTACTATGGTTTTAAAATATGCTTTGATAACCTGTAGGTTGTTTCTCCCTCATTATTGTTTTTTTTTCAGAATTTTACCAGTAGATCCCACATGTTGATTTTTCAAGAGGAATTTTAGTAACATTTAATCATATTAAAAAGAATCCTGTAAATATTTTAATTGGGATTATATAAAAATGTTATTTTAGGGAAAATTGACATCTTTACACTATTGAATCTTTCTCTGTAAAAAGAAGTATGTTTTTCTATTTATTCTTGTTTTCTTTCATATCATTCAGTTCAGTTTTCTTCACAAAAGCTTAATAGAGTCCTACATTTTTTCCTGAGTGCTTTATTTTATTTTTTACTATTTTAAGTGGGGTCTTTCATATTATATTTTCAAACTGGTATTCGTTTTTGTGTATTAATATTGTCACATGATACTTTATAATTTCTAATAGTTTTTTGGGGGAAGAAATACAGATTAGTGGGTAAGAGCATAAGCTCTGAGTCAGACAGTCTAGGTTCAAATGCAGGGTCTAGCTTGTCATCCCGGGTTAGTTATTTAATCTTTCTGAGCCTTCATTTCTCATCTGTGAAATGGACTCATACTAATACTGTTCTTGTTGGATTGGTCTTGCATTTATTCAGTCAGTATTTATTGAGTGCCTACTACATTCTGTTCTGACACTGTCCTAGGCTTTGGGTTATAGTGGTGAACAAGCCTCCGCTATGTGCCAGACATTCTCCCAGGCACTGGCATTATGGTGGTGAACAAGACGGACAAGGTCCCTGTGCTCAGGAGCCTTTCATTCTAGCAGATTATGAAGATTAAATGATGTAAAGCATGTAGGGTGTTCAGCATATGCTCAGAACAGTCAGCACTATTAAGTGCTTACACTTGTTGAAATGTTAACCTTTATCACTCTTTTGTTTTTTTCTAGGTATACAATTATATAATTGCTAACATAAGAGGTGAATTTGCGTCTTCTTTCCCAACAGTTTTACCTTTTATTTCTTTCTCTTGACTAATTGTATGTTTTCCCCCTCCATCTGTGTGTTACACTGGGCATCTTTGCCTTCCACTGGCAATGCTTATAGTATTTTATAAATAAGCATGATTGTAGCTTTAAAAAAAGTCTTGTTTAGCTCTTCTATAAATTAGCTTTGTGCCATCTATAGATTTGGCAAGCCTTCTCTGCCTTCCTCCAAATGTTGATTCAAATGTTTAGCATGAACTCTGCCTGAGGCACCCTCGTCTGGTTTGACATGGATCCATCGTTCAACAGTCAACTTTCTGGTTGTGGTTACTTACCTGGCAACAAATCCTTTGATCACGATGGTCCAACTTAGAATATCCTTAGATTTCACAGGTCTGCTGGGAGAGACTTTGCCAAGGGCCCCCTAGGAAACCACATACCTTGTGTCCTTGCCATTCCTCTGATCTACCAGGCTAGTGACCCAACTGGAAGAATGAAAAGGCATTAGGATTATGCAAATGGGCAGCCAAGTGCTGTGAACTTCTCCAGCTTTCTGTAAAGGAGGAGTGTGGCCTGAGAAGGCTCTGTGGGTGGTCAGAGTGAGTCAATGCCTACAAGGGCTCCCCGAGTGTCTTTGGGCTTATCCCAGGGCTGGCACAGTGGCGTGCTGGAGCCCACCCATACCTGCCGTTGAAGGCCCATTGTGTGCATCTCTTCCCCTCTCTGCGTTCAGTGACATCATGTTTATGGTTCATGATCCGCCATGGTGGGTATATTTAGACCACAGCAAACACTATAACCAGGTTCCCCACTTCCCTCCTCTGCTTCCCCTTGGAGTTGGGCACCAGGGCAGTGCTGTGTTGGGGCTGCAGCTTCATTCTAAAGGTTTGGGGCAGATCCTAGTGCTCTCTGAGGGAAGGGAGTGGTGACTGGCAATTCTTCCCTCCCTGTGTCAAAACCCTCGTTTCTAACCCCACTCTTCCCTGTGGTGTCTCCTCAGGATGTGGGCTCCTTAGAGGAGAAGATGAAGAGCTTGGATGTGAATCAGGACTCAGAGCTCAAGTTCAATGAGTACTGGAGACTGATTGGGGAGCTGGCCAAGGAGATCAGGAAGGAGAAGGCCCTGCAGATCCGAAAGAAGTAAAGCCGGCTGGCCGGGATGGGGGTGGGTATGGCAGGGCTGGGCAGTACCCCACTCCCCACAAATAAAGCTTTCTCCTTGAAACACAGACGTTTCTTACACCTACCCTGATGATTTCTTCTCTTGAGACTAGGGGGTGGGAAAGCTCTGTCCCCACCTGAGTTTGGGTCCAAAAATTATGAGCTCCTTGAGGACCAGGAATGTTATTCGTCTTCAGATACTCTGCAGCATCAGATCTTGTACAGGATAGGTGCTCAATAAATACATGGTTGATGAATGAATATCTGAAAGGTAGAGACAGATCTCTGGGGCAGGTGAGGTGACTTATATCCCACCAGGTCTCAGGGGCTTGGTCTTGGTTCCCACTTTCTTATTCCTGGGGTTTGTGTCATTGGATGGTAATGATAGCAGTGAACATGTGTTGAGGGCTTGCTCTGTGCCAGGAACGGGGCTGAACATTTTCTTGTATTATTTTAGTTAATGCTCACAGCCCGTTGAGGTAGGTACGGTTTTTAAGTCTTGTATTAAAGATGAGGAAACAGATTTTAGAGAGGTTAAGTCACAAAGACAAGAATAGGTAGAACTGGGTTGAAATTCCAGAGCCTCTGTAATGAACCGGGATCCTCTCTGGACGGGTGCTTGGGAACCCTGGACCCTTCTCTCCTCCCTCCTACCATGGCAGGGGTGAAGCAGAAGGATGAACACAGGGTTCTGGTTCGAGGACTGGGGTGAGGGTGGTGGTCGTGCTGCAGGAAGCAGAACTTCAGGGCACCCAAACGCTGCTCTCCCCATCCTTCTTGGCTAGAGGCGCATGTGGTTTGAACTGTCTGCCACCAGAGGGAGCAGGGGTGGGGCAGCCCAGCAGGCACTGCCCTCCAAGAACTGTCACTGCCTTACGGCCAGGTGTCCATCATTTGAGGCAGCTGTGAGTCCAGAGGAACATTTAGGCTGAGACAAGCTCCCCATCACACACCATGAAAGGGTCCTAGATTGAGACCTTCCATCTAAGTGTCCCTGGACTGAGAGACCTCAGAGGGACCGCCAGGCTGGGACTCTGAGGGTCCATTTGAGACATTCCAGAGGGGCTCCCTGACAGTGAGAGATTGAGACATTCCAGAGGGACCCCCAGACTGAGACATTAGAGACCTCAGGCTGAGGCAGTCTTGGAGAAACCCTGAAATCGAGATAGCCTCGGGGGGTCCCCAGATTGAGACACTTACAGACACCCCAGTGGAGGCCAAAAGTACATAGGAGCCCTAGAAGGAGACCTGTGGAGGGGCACTGGGAGGTATGCTTTGATCTCAGAGTTTAGGAAAGGAGTCCAGGAACTCTGGCTCTCAGCACTGCCCACTCCTTTCCTGACCCACACAGACTGCCCTGCCTTCTCCCTTTCTCTTCCTCATCAGGTGGGGAAGGCCACTGGGGTTGGACTGAGTTCATCCCAGACCTACAGTCCAGGATCCCTGGGATGTTATCCCGGGTGCTGGATTGGGCGGGGCGGGGAGGGTGGTTTGCTGTGGAGTCTCCGGGTTAGGGAAGGCATGGGATTCTGAGGGAGGGAGGAGCAGGTAGCCCAACCAGTTTGGAGAGGTTGTTAGCTGACAGATCACCCATCTGGGCCTCCCACACGTGCATGCTGGCTGCGGAGAGCTGAAAGGACGTCAGGACAACACTCAGTCTGCCCCCTTCACCAGGCTGCCCTTCTCTGGCTCCTTCCTCCTGACCCAAATTTCTGCCATTAGGACTCGGCAAGGCTGGGCAGGCTTGAGTGTCACTATCTAAATCGGCCTTGAGGGGAGGAATGTGTGTGTGTGACACATTAAAGTGCTTCAACCCACGTGTCCCTCATTCCTTCAAGGCCACAAAACCTGCCTTGACCAGCCTCTGCTTCTTCTTTCCTGGTGATTGACTCAGAGCCCCCTCAGAACCCTTTCCTGTCCTACATTTCCTCCAGGCCTTTCCTCCCAGGCTCCACGCCACAGCGTTTCCAAGTCCTCCCTCCCCCCACCCCACCCCGCCCCCAGCCTCCCCTCCCTGTCTTCCCTGGGCTCTGCCTGCTGGTCTGGGGCCAGGGGCATCCCAGACCCAGCTCTCCATGGTTCCCTCCTCGTGGCCCGGGTGTGGGGCGGGCTCTCGGAGCTGCGGCCAATGGAGGTGGGGCCCCCGTGGGGCTGGCTCACAGCCCAGGCGGCTGCAGGAGCAGGGCTGGCTTCAGGATGAGGCCCAGCCCCCTGCCTCCCCTCCCTTCCCCCAGGTATAAGAGCTGAGCTCAGGTGTACTGGCTCTTCCAGTCCTGTCTCAGCGGCTGCCAGCAGGTAAGGAGTCCCAGGGCTTTTCACCCAAAATGGGCTGTCACTGGTCCAGAGGGCATGCTTAACCTATCCTACCCTAGTCTGCCAGGGGAGGGTCTGCGGGACCAGGCCCTGGAGGCTGGTGTGTGTGTGTGTGTGTATGGAACAGGGGTGGGGGGTTGGAAGGGGTGGGAGGAAGGAGGCTAAGGTGAGGCTCAACGGATTCCCTCTAAATAGGTTGGCCTGGGGGCTGTGACCTTAGCTCCGGGAGCCTGGGCAGGGACGGGGCTTGTGTGGAGTTGGCTCTGACCCCCTGGGTGAGGCACAGAATATCTGGGGTGCAGCCAAAGGGGATAGTTGAGAAAGAAATGCTGAGTTCTCTCCTTAGCTCAGCCTCCCCCCTCCTCTGAGCAGATCATGAGACATCAGCTCCGCTGGGGCCGGCTGTAGGACGACAACACTCTCACCAAAGGACCAAGCGCATCAAGCACCATGGGACAGTGTGGGTCAGCCAACGTGCAGGTGCACCCATTCATTCCTGGCCTTTCTGTTCCCACTCTCCTCTCCCTCACCCTGAGGGTCTATGTCCCTCACTGACTTCTGCCCCCTCACCTTGGCCTTGCTCTGCACTCCAGACCCTGCCTGTGAGACCTGAACCCTCTCTGGTGCCTACACAGGGTGATGCAGATGGGCCCTCCCTGGAAGAGGATGCCTGGGTCTCATGCTGGGACCTGCCCTGCCTGGAGGCTGGGGGGAGGTGGGGAGGAAGCCTTGCCCAACACATGGCTCAGGGCAGAGGACAGTGGGGGCAAAGGGGCTGGATGCTGGGCTTTGGAGTGGGCGAGGGCCCACGTGCCTGCCAGCTGTCTTCTGCCCTGTTGGCTCTGCCGGGCTCCTGGGGAAGCAGGGTGTCATAGGATGCGTGGGGCCTCTGCGACATGGGTGATGTCCCTTGCCCTCAGGATGCCCAGGAATTCAGTGACGTGGAGAGGGCCATCGAGACCCTGATCAAGAACTTCCACCAGTATTCGGTGGAGGGTGGGAAGGAGACGCTGACCCCCTCCGAGCTACGGGACCTGGTCACCCAGCAGCTGCCCCACCTCATGCCGGTACTGAGGGAGTGGACCCCGCCCCAGGCAGTACCCTGACTTCCCAAGCAAGTACTCCAAGACCCCACCCACACTGCCAAGGCCCCTGGCACTGGCAAACCCCAGCCAGCCCTTTCCCTTGTCAGTGCCAGGTAGACTCAGGACTTGCTTTCTGCCCCTGGGCAGGGAGGAGTGGGAAGATTGGAAGGTGCTGCCTGGCTGAGCTGTGGTGTCTTCCCTCCTTTCAGAACAACTGTGGGCTGGAAGAGAAAATTCCCAACTTGGGCAGCTGTAACGACTCTAAACTGGAGTTCGGGACTTTCTGGGAGCTGATTGGAGAAGCAGCCAAGAGTGTGAAGCTGGAGAGCCCTGTCCGGGGGAGTTGAAAACCTTCCCCTGGAATTCTGCGGCGGGGGGGATATTGGGGAAAGGGGGCCTCCAGAGCCTGGGGGGCCTGGAAATAAAACTCCTCTCTCCACCACCCCCGCATTATTCCCCAGCCCCACCTGTCTCACCTCAGCAACGTTCAGGTTCATAATGGCCCTTCCTGGGGCCTCTGTGTACTTCAACCCTGGGAGCTCCGTGGGGCTAATGGGTCCAGGGGTCCCCACCTGGGGGAGGCTCAGGGGGTGGCTGGGGCCAGGGATGTATTGGAGGGCTGCTGGAGGGTTGAGGATGCTGTAAGGGCCAAGTCATTTAGTAGTGGTGGAAGGGCAGAGAGGAGCTGAGCTATGGGAACTGATTTGAAGGGGGTGGAAGGAGGAATGGATATGCGGTACTAAAAAGGGTCTCTACGAACCTACCCCTCCTAATCTCTTCCCCAACCCCAACCGTCTGTCCAGTGCTGTCCCTCCCTGCCCCCAGCTCTGCCCCAGCCTCCTCTCAGGACCCTGTCTCCCTGGCTTAGGGCAGGGGAAGAGAGAGAGCAGGGTGGGGGAGAGGCTGAGGAGGGTGAGTTTTGGGAGTGAGAGGACCAGCTGGGTGCTTGGGCATTTACAGAATGATGGTTGTTTTGTATCATTTGATTAATAAAGAAGATGGAAAAAATGAAAGACGTTGTCTTGACTGAACCCCATCCCCACCCCAAGGGTCCATGGGTGAGGAGGTGTTGGGGTGAATGGCAGAGTCATTGGGTGGCACGGTACCTGTGGGACTGCAGTGGTCGGCAGTGGAGGCGAATAGGGGCCTCACTTTCCCCCGTGGATTTGGGTTGAGGATGGCAAAAGGCTTTAAAGGTGGGAGACCTGGTTCTCTCTGAGGGACAGGCTGTACTTTGCCAGTGACCTGGCCCTCTGACAGGAGAGGAGGGCGTGTGTGCACATGTGGGGAGAAGAATATGAACCCAGGTGAGCCTGGCTGACTGGTAGCAGGGGAAATGTGAGGCTGAGAAACAGGCTGACCAACCTGGGTTTGAATCCCAGCTCTGCCATGTACTATATTTGGAACTTGGGGCATATCCTCAGAGTATCAGTTTCCTCATCTGTAAAATGGGGATGGGGCACATGATGTAAAGTACTTAGCAGAGAGCCTGACACAGAGTGAGAGGCCAGTGAGCAGAAGTCACTGGAGTGGGGGGATGGGTCACTTCTGGCGTCAGCTGTTGCCTCTGGGACATCAAACTGGCCAATTTCCTTGGGTATCTTGGAGAAGGGGTGAAGGGGTGTTTCCAGAGGAATCCTCTGCTGCACACAAAAGGTCGTAGGGACGGG